AGCACTTGCTCATTGATCGCAAGAGATTGACTATGCACGCATTCAGGCGCCACAGAAAAAGTTGTTATTTTTGTATATGAAATAGTAGTTTCATTTCTAGATGTTTGCCTATCCCTAAGAGAAACGTGTTCTATAACTCACAAAACATGTCCTAGTAGAGATGAGAGAATAGGTATTGATGAGTGCTATGTACCTTATAATAACTAGAACTGTATCTAAAGATGTTATCTTATATTTATGCTCAAATTTTGTTGGAAAGATATACAGGAAACGACACAACGTTTCACAATGTCAGAGCAACAATTTAAAGGTAACAACTAGTTGCTTGAAATAGCTCAACTACCATTACCCGAAATACATATATTTGGCAAAAGTAATTTTCTAAATATCAGGGTTTTATGTCCACTTAGACCATCATTTTTCTTTAAAACCCCTTAATAAATCTTATATATATTAATATAAACAGATAATACATTTTAATTGAGGTAAGGGGGTACCTTGAGACTATGCATTACTGACACTAAGCAAAAAGACTACTTCTGCATTTTTTAAATTATATATAAGCAACATCTGACTCTGAGGGTCCTTTAACTTTAAGCTACTACCAGCTGTCTCTGAACAAAGAACAGCACCGCCTCGGTTCGTGGTCAGATCGTATCTCAGGTGATTATAACTTCCACATTCTCTGTTATGCAGACATGCTTTGCAGGCTTTGTATATGACTTTGCCATAGGCTGCAATCCATACTATGCCTGCTGAGCGTGCATAGTTTAAAACAAATTATCAGATCAAATCATCAAACCATAGAGAATCCACCTGTCCTTGAGGTTGCAAACAATTTGCATAAAATCCATCCGACTTTGTGGAAGAGATTTCATTTTAAACATAATCTAGAAAATGTGTAGGAGAGGTACTTAGACACTTGGGATTGAAAATTCACGGCAAACTGTACAGAGCGTTCCCTCTGTGATCCTTGGGGTCCACTGTATTGAGAGTCGTTTTGGACAGTTTGTTCTCTGCTCTCTCTCAGATCAATACCAGCGTTTGTGGACAAAATGCTTTAAATAAAATATACATTACAAGGTTGATATAGTTTGAATAATGAGGAATTGTTTTTGCCATGCATTCTTAATAATTAATACACACACTAAAATGGACAGCATGTTATTCTAAAATGTGGGTCAGTGTGGTTGCACTTGTAGCCTGGAAACTGTAAAGATGCAAAATCGGCCTGAATATTTTATGTAAAGCTGTGGTTGGCGTGACAAAGTTCAAGTTGCAGCGGTGTGCGTTTCTCTGGTTAGACATTTCGGACTGTGTGTTCTTGGCTGCCGGAGTTTGTATCTTGTGGCTAAGCGATGACACACTCAGGATGTCAAACCCGGGGTGTAGCTGACCAGTAACTCAAGCCTGATAATCCAGTGCTGCGCTCTGAGGGAAAGTCAGCTAAACTTTCAGACAGCTTGCCTAGGGGTCCTCACCCGAGAAAGTGAGGTGAGAAACAGCAGTCTCACAAGACCTCCAAATGGAGTTTTGTTTCAGATAACAGAGTTAGAATAGGAGAGGAAGAGAATTAGAGAAAAAAAGGAGCATTAGACCGGGGAGGCAGGCATGGCAGGCATGCAAGTGTGTAACTGAGTTCTGGCTGGATTAGGCCCGCTTGTTATGGATAAGGGAAGGCAAAGAGATGGGGGAATCAGTAGTAGGGAGAGATTAGCAAAAATTGCAAAGCATGCTACGTTAGATGGGTACAGTAGGAGTTCTGCAAAGGATCAGTCAGGAGTTAGAGAGAGGGAGGGAGCCTTATGGTAGCAAGGGAGAAGCCAAAAGAGCTTAGTTAAGGAGCTTAGTTGAGGTAGGTTAGATCTGAAGATGGGCTGTATCAAGAAAAGAACGGAAAGTGAGCCAGTGACCAGCGATAAATCCATCTACTGTAACATTAGCATCCCTCCAAACTCCACCCTGCCTCCACCTCTCTGTGCCCCTGCTTGTGTGTCTTTCATTCCCTCCATCCAGGCATTTTCCAGATAGACTCCGTGCTTGTTCAATATCACACTGTACTGCCTTGTGATTGGCTCAGGAGCGTGGTCAATGTGTGACACTGTAACTGCGCATTTAACAGAAGATACAAAAGTCACACACAGCACTTTGGGAAACAAGCGCCTCTTCTTTTTTTTTGCCCTCCACTTTTTAGTTGATATGATGGGATTGATAAGTAAACATTAAAAAACGTTCATGCTGTTTCAATGTTCACCAGAGGAAGGGACGAAGGGGGATGAGGACATTTGGTTTTAACGGGTGTAAACTAAATCTGGAGTCACTGCATTCACCACAGAACACACCCCTCCTACAAGGTCTATATTTACTATAGAAACCAATGCCTAGCCTAGCTCTGAACTGTGTAACACTAGTGGAATATAGCTGCAGGTGAGAATAAGGCTGTTATAGATAGTAAGAGCCAAAAATGACAATACCTAATATACGAAATGACTTGATATTTGTCCTCTCCCTATATATTCCCATTCTCTTTGGCTACAGGAGACAGATGTCCTCGCCGTTAGAGCAAAATCTCTAGGGCAGAAGCAACAGAAGTCTGTGGAAAAACCATTAGAACACTCTTCAATTACTTTGTGAAGGGAGACACATAATGGGATGGTAATGTGTGAACACAAAGAACAGAAAGGCTTTTGCTCCTCGACAAATCTTTGGAGTCGCGGCTAAAAAAGACTTTTTTGAAATACGGATCTATAACAATTGCATAAGGAGAATAAATGTGAGAGACAAATTGCCCTCTGGCAGAGTCATGAAGGTGACTTGAAGGAGCTGCTCCATTTTAGCACGAATTTCCTCCTCCTCCTCCTCCTCCTCCTCCTCCTCCTGCCGGCCTATCCCACGTTAGCAAAGAGACACTTGTTTCAAAGTGCTGCTCACACCGTAGGTCTCTACTCCATTAAAAGCTTGTTTCCTTAGCAGAAGGATGGTGCCACTTTCATGCCAACTAGAGGGTCTGCCTAATCCTCCTTTGCCATACTGAGTTTGGAAAGGATCATCGGTTAATTGTTTTAGAGGGGCTGCCCCTTCATCCCACTACCCCCCCCCCCCACCCTCCAACCCCACTCAGGGCAGCAGTGGCGCCAGCTCGGTGCAAAACGATTCGTGGTTTTTGTTCCATGGCTAAAGAACGAGGACTCGCATGGTATCCCTATGGAGCAGCATAGTGGGGAAATAGAAAGTACAACAACACATTATACAAACACACACACATGCACCACACACACCTACATATGCATGCTCGCACCCATCCGCAGTTACACACAAATCCACCCATCTGACCACACGTTATTCTGAAATAAAAAGCAAAGGGTTGACGGCATGCACTGCTCATGTGTCACAGAACACGTCTGAAGAAAAAGATTATGCGTTTTGTATTTAAAAGACAGGTTAGGTCCAGGTTTCCAAATGCCTTATGTAAGGCTCTGGATTACTTCTTGTTGTTATTTACCAAATATTTCATATGGAATACCTGTCTTAATTAGATACATACTCAATGTTTAGCAAAGACTTTTGCTATTACATTTTTAGAATAGTTAAACATTTGGGGAAACAGTTGTAGGGCTAACTTTGGCTTAGCTTAAAGAATGGAAACAGCAAGTCTGGCTAACAAAATATTTTTCAAACTCACCAATTTCCACTTTATTTATAGCGTTATTTGCTTTTACCAAACCATTTAAAGGCTGGGATCAGTAACTTTCTCAGGTTTCGGCTGGTTTCACGTCTCTGTGCTAAGCTAAGCGGCTGTTTCAAGCTACATTAACCATAGGTACATAAGAGTGGCATCCATCTTCTTGTGTTACTTTCTATAGGAATGCTAATAAGCATCTTCCCCTTAAATATCAAACTTCTGTTTATCTTCGAGGCTGGGTAACAAAGAGTAGAGTAGCCTGCTGAGCTGGACTGTAAAGAGACATGGCTAATAGGACAAAACTGGACAGTGTGATATTTGAACGTGTGCCAACATTATGTTGAGGTGATGCCAGTTCCACCTCACTGTGTTCCAGAGGAGCAGGGGTCAAAGGTCAGCTGCTCTTTTCACTGCAAGCTTTAAACCCACAGACTAACAGCCGGAGGTGCTGAGGGTCCGAGAGGATCCAGGGTTTGGCGTGCGAGGGGGGGGGGGGGTTAGTGACAGGTGTTAACACGGCAGGGAGTTAAAAGGAGAGGGAGAGGTAGAGGAAGGGGAGGGGGTACTTAGTAAGAGCAGACGAGGAGGGCTGCAGGAGGATGCCTGATGTTTACACTGCAGCACATGTGCAGTTTCATATTAGGCCTGACAGGAACTGTTGCTATAGATCTTCCACGCTCCACCCTCCCTACTTAAGTCCCCCTTCCACTCCAACTACGCACAAATGACTTTGAAACATCAAAGCTGGCATTAATGTCTCATTTCCCTATGCAAATGCAAAATGAGAAAGAAAACAAAAAAAGCCTTTCAGTTCTCCCTGCCTCTTTCACTTTCACTGAGAATCGCTGCTGTCCCCTGGAGACGAAGCACGATGCGCAGTTTTGGGGAGAAAAACGGGTTGGGGGATCCTGGGGGCTGCTCTGCATTACCAAAACAAACCATTCAGCAAACAAACAATTAGACGCTCATGAATTATGGACAAGCCATCTAAAATAGCTATAGCGTGGGGAGTCGTGGAGCAATTGCTGAGCTAATAAAACGTATGTTGTGTGTTTTTAAACAGTAATGGAGTAGTATGTATTACGGCTTCATGAGTACAATATTTATATGTCAATTATTCCGATTATTCCCCTTAATTCTTTCTACCGGTGCAGCTGAGTGACTGAAAACAACGCAACACTGAGAAACCTAGGAAAGATCAGATAGGAAAGTGAAGAAGGAAAGGGGTCTAGTAATCCACCACGCGTGAATGAGCATCAGCCATTTTGTTTTTCAATCTGTCCCCAGCAACATCCATTATTCACAACTCTGTGTTTACCTCTCACAGACGCGCACAGTCCATGCCGCAATGATCCAGGAGGATATACTGAACACCAGCAGAACAGTTCCCGGACAGATGGTCATGAGGGTCTTCATGACGAAGCGTGTGTTGAAGTTGATCTTGTTGAGAGCGCCGATGCTGCGAGACGAAGCGTCCGTGAACAGTTTGCTGTGGAGCAACATGACCCTGCCTATCAGGTAGAGTCTCAGGAACATGGGGATGGAGAGGATGATGTCCACGTCAGCATCGGCCTCCGACGGCGTGTAGGTGAAGGCCAGCCGCGCCTTCCAGGTGAAGACGTAATGGCCCGGGATGGGATGGATGGCACACACCAGCAGCTCCAGCACGATGAAGAATATCCGCTCATACGTCATGGCTATCCTCCAATCGTCCGCACCATTGTCGACCATAAACAGCTTTACAGAAAAACAGACAAACATCAAAGACTTGTTTTAAATCTCTACTTGCAATACTCAGTTGGGTGTTTGAGGCATTTTCAGCATTTTTCATCCCTTTCAACCCCCACACCTTGAAAGTGTTTATCATTTCAAACTTAGATTGTGAGACACATTATTCAAATCAAACCCACAGATTTCATTTGAAATTCTAGTCAAGATATGAAGAAGTCATGCTTAAATTAGAGTAAAAATATGTATAACATGAAGGAGAAGACATGTAGACATTTAGCATTCAGTGTATTGCTATAGCCATAAAAAGTGGCAACCAAGATTTGTATATCTTATTTAACTCAGATCAGAAGACTGATGCCGCTCAGATCAAGCAGCACAATAATAATAAAACAAATGCAATAGAAATCTGCAAAAGAGAACTTCATGTACAAATTAAAAGTGGTCTACAGATGTATTTATTTAGTAGCTATGTATAACAGTTTATCTATTTTTTTATTGTTGAACAAAATACCACAAATGTTGTGATTCTTATTCTGTTCAACCAAATACTTTCATGTGTGTACATTTCTTCTGTGTATCATTCTTTGTATTTTAATAACTAACTCATAAATTATACCATTTCATATAATTTATTTTAAGCATAGTAAAAATTGTATTTCAATATTTTTACCAGGGCCCAATTGCCAAATACGAAAGCTTCATGAACATTATCTTCCCAAAACTGATACCAAAAGCTGCTGGTATCATTAGAAGAATACAAATAATAACAAAAACGTTGTTATTAATTTAGACTCACCTGGATTTCCCGGGCATGGTACATTATTATAAGACCAAGCAATATAACAGTGGAAAGGCTGATAAGGCATTTCAGTGCAAATGAGTATGAAGATTCCTGTGGTGAGAGAAGAAGAAAAGAAAAAAGATTTCAGACATTGTTAAGTGAACACAATAAACACATACAACCAGATCTTACATAAGATATACATAACAAGATTATCAATAGATTATCAATTCATAAACCAATGACTATTATGTTGTATGATACTACTTAGCTAATGAAGTAGTAGAGAGAGTGCATTTAATCATTCATAATTTTTATGTTGGCTTTTATGAGTAGCATACATGTCCAAATAAACACATGCACGTAAGTCCATGAAAGTGCACACACACACACACACACACACACACACACACCACACACACACACACACACACACCACACACACACACACCACACACACACACACACACACACACACACACACACACACACACCACACACACACACACACACACACACACACACACACACACACACACACACCACACACACACACACACACACACACACACACACCACACACACACACACACACACACCACACACACACCACACACACACACACACACACACACACACACACACACACACACACACACACACACACACACACACACACACACACACACACACAGTGCTTATTAGCCCAGACGTGTAACAGAGCAGATAATGGGTTTTACACACAAACAGGGTGTTGCTTAACAACGCAGCTGCAGGTGTAGGTGCAGCCTGATATTATCTATGGATGCTGTTCCCCACCATCTAAACTACCAATTAATCAAAGCCCAGCACTTAGAGGGGGACTTTCCACTAAATGGTAGGTGCAGAAAAGGCAAGGCTAGCATTAGCAGGGGGGGAACCACAGAGAGCGATGCTGGTGATAAATAGGCCAGCTGGAGACTAGCGCTGCTGTGTTGTGTTTGTGTGGACACAGGGGCCATAGATCTAGGAAATGAGAACCTGCACCACTCAAGTCCTCCCCATGTTGGTAAAATGCCATTTGATAAATCAATTTAACAGCAAGGGTATAAAAATGCGGCCTGCAGAAGGCTAACGGTTGTAGGGCTGTTATTATAATAACAACGGCGACGACAAATGACAAGAACAACAAGTGGAAATATCCTTCATAATCGTCAGTGTGATGAAAGTGAGAGCTGCTCAACATTACTCTATCCTTCGGTGGTCCATATTACAGAATGTATTTTTAGCTATCAACTAGATTGCTTTGGCCCTCAGGTGGCCGACATGTTCTCAAGACGTTGTTTTGAGAGGTCCCTGGTGAAATAACATTGAGTAAAACAATGAATCCACCTGCCAGAGGTTCAAGGACTTTCCAGTCCCAGTGCTCCCTGCCTCTTACCCTCCTTCTGGTCCCAGAAAGCCTCAGCTGAGCCTCAGGTGTCTGCATGATGTGGCGTAAGACGGAATAAGGACCATCCAACGGTCTTATGTGTGTGTGTGTGTGTGTGTGTGTGTGTGTGTGTGTGTGTGTGTGTTGGAGGGGCATCGACTGTACCACTCAGAGGTGGGAGGTCACGTCCATTTCAGCTGCGCTCATCTTGATGGATGGACTGAACCCCACTCAGTAATAGTCATAGACAGACCCATTGACTTCCTTAAGACCCCATTAATCATCTTATAGATTACCACAGTCTCTTACTAGTTCCTACCGACACACACACATATGCACGTACACACACACACACACACGCACACACACACATATGCACGCACACACACACACACACACACACACACACACACACACACACACACACACACACACACACACACACACACACACACACACACACACACACACACACACACACACACACACACACACACACACACACACACACACACACACACACACACACACACACACACACACACACACACACACACACACACACACACACACACACACACACACACACACACACACACACACACCACACACACCACACACGTTACCTATCTAGAACCGAGTTAATGAATAGTAGTAGAAGGTAAACAGATACAAATACCAATCAGACAAAGAACATAGTTAGCATCCAGCCAGCGCACAGACAAGGTTAGCCATTCACGTTTGAATATAGAATAGCATATAGCAAGCTAAAGACCTACACATATTCCTCACTAGTTGGTGAAGACTGAAACAGAGATAAAACAAGACAACTGGGACAACACAGTCCTAAAATGTCCTTAAAATGTGAATGAAAGTGAAGAATAATAATATTTGCCCAATTCATTCTCTGCGCTAAACATTTCCACCAAAATTCAAGAAAATAGGACCTGTATTTCTTCTGATAAACAAACTAAACTGAAAACACAACCTCTTGGCAGAGGTAAGTATTGGATTTATATTTGTCAGGTTACCAACAAAATGTCTCAGAATAAATGCTAACTTTGAAGGTGTAAATAAACAACTTTATCATACTATAAGACTGTTGTGATGTTGTTCTTGTAGGATTTGGACACCAAGTAATCAGTAATGTCTAAGAGATGCACAATTTGTAGTAAATGGGTTCAAAACATGGAATACCACCTATGAAGTGATGTTGTTCTGTTCCTTTTTAACTTGCATACAGATGTTATGTTACCAAGGTTTTATTTTTCCCTGCGATCAAAGACCTGTGTCCTGTGACCTACCTTAACCTGCATCGCTCTGCACTATAAGTCAGCTCGTCAGTAAACAGCCTTGTAAATATTGTAGTAGAAGCTGAGTGCACTGAGAGAACGGTATTCTTCCTAAAATACCCTGACGCAGCAACGTGATTGGCTGATACAGAAGGACAACAGCAGGTCAAGTGGTGGTGACCAGGTCACAGCGACCCTGACCCCACAATGCCCTGCTTCTTCAAGAGTCACATGTTACTATCGTGTGCAGCGTCCTCTACACTCTGATCTGATAAAAGTAAAAACATGCTGTTGGAATTGTTTCCCATTGTTTCCCTATTGACCTTTCTTTTTATCTTGAATTGTCTTTATCTCTTATGTCTGCGCAGAAACCCCCATACATCTATCTCCTCTTCATCCCCTTTCCTCAGCTATCCCCCTTTCCATCTCCCTCTCCTGCTGAGAGCTCATGATTTGCAGATGCTGCCTTCACAGGGAACCACAGAGAGCCACAAAGGCACCAGTATTGAAACAAATCCTTTGGCTAGACTGAGATCTGATACCAATAATGAAAAAGTGGATATATGAGAAAAAAAGTTGGAAAAAAGCAGAGAAATTACTTTAAAATTAGATTTAGAAAAAATAGATTCTATCCAATCAATAGGCTGTTAGTCATCGATCACATGACACTCCTTTTGATTTGAATTTGACAGATACTCCATCACCTTTGTTAGACATTGCTTGTCAGTGTCTGTGCTAATAATCACTCTTCATGAATGTGACAGCTGCCAACCCCACACAAATCCAAAATCAACAATAGCAGTGACACCACACAAAGCTCCCACTCATTCATCACACGCACGCACGACCTACCTTAGTGTAAACCCCCCATGACAGCTCCGTCTCCGTCACCATGACGACAATCCCAAACATCCCGAAGATGAGTGCGTAGTCGCTGAGCCGCTTCCGCTTCTCAAACAGCGCCCTCCGGTGTCCGAGCCTGTATCCGATGTCCCTGTTCTTCTTCTGTGTTGCCCTGCATCCGGCGCGCACGCTGCCCTCCCTGACCAGGCTCTCGTTGGACGCCTTGCTGGGGTCTTCGCCGCCGTTGCCCTTGGACACCACCACCTCCAGGCCAGAGCTGTGCAGTGTCTGCAAGGGCTGCGTCTCCGAGTCGAGCTCCGCGAGGTTGCGGCGCGACGAGGACGCCAGGCTGCCCACTAGTGGTCTCACCACTCCGCCATTGTACTTGCAGGTGTTCATGGCTATCTGAGGGAGTCGGCCGCTGCTCTCTGAGAGGGAGGGCTTGGATCCAGCATGGCTCAGCTTCTTCTGCTCAGTAGTGGCCTGTGAACAGGAAGAAGAGAGGTAAATACAATACTATCACAACAGAAAAGGTGTAAAAACTGAAGGTGGTTTAAGAGACACACAGGTTCAGACTTTAAATAGAGCATTGATGTGGGAGTTACATCATGGAGAGGGCACACTGAGGGAAGGATCTTGCAAAACAATTTTGGTTATAAAAGCAGACAGATTTAGTGCTCAGCAGGACATGCGGCCACAACATACAGTACGGACCAAAATATACTGAAATAACCCACTCTTCTTTCTTGAGAAACATATACTGAGAGCTGATAACATTTACAGTTTACAGTAAGCCCGTCTTGAAAAAAACAAGAATCCCACTTAACAGTTCAACTATAACAGTTGAAAACTCTCTTTGATTGAAACTATGTTCCGGCCTTTCCTTCAAGAAAATGGCATCAAAATTGGATGTCTCAAAAACAAATCAATAATGAATGGACTATGATGTATAAATAAAACCATATAACCAATAGTGGACCTTACAAAGTGCAGAAAATTGAATCTTTGCGCTGCACAAATTTAGATATCAATGATTAATGCTCGGCGTGACCCTGTTTCCTATCAGAGAAAGACTCTGCTCGATGCAGAGAGTAGAAGCGGGATGCCCAAAAGAGAACGAAGAAATGTGGTCCTTCTCAAATCAGGCGTACAAGGGACCAAGTGTGACATTCCCACTTTTTTAAAAGGCAAACAAGGAAACCCATTTCCTCTGAAACTCACTTAGTGTACTGTACAAAGTGTGTGCGGAGGTTAAGGCTAACTCAGGGGCAAGTTAAGAATAAGAGTCACGTATATTCGCACATTTGTTCAACCAATAAATAGAATATTGTGCATAAAATGTATTCTTCCTTTAGCGAGAAAGGAGAGAAATACTGTTTAGAAACCTATGTAACTTCTTTATCACCTGCACAAAATGTTCCTGTTTCCCCGGCCCACACTCCTCTCGTCTTGCATTGAGTCGTCTATCGTGTCTGTTCTTTCAGGGAGATAGGAGGGAGTTTCTGTCCCAGTTACGCAGGCTAAAAATGTTCAATCCATGCAGAGGCTGTAGAGCAGTCACCCCAGAAGCATCTATCCGCCTGTCTATCCCCTGCCCTTCAGAGACTCGGGCAGATTATCATAATGGGTTATGAAAACTTCACATGGAACAGTGCTTTTTCCGAAACAAGTCGGGGGTGTGTGATAGCACTGCTGGCCCTTTCTATTAGCCTTGACAAAGCATGCCTAATGCCTTTAAATGTGCTGATGGGAATAAAGAAGGGCGGCCCTAATGGAAATGTACTAACTCCAGTCCTGTGATGCTATTGTCTTGCGCATATTGTGGCTCCATGAGAACAGGACTAAAGGTTAAGGATTAGTGCAGCCCATAGTGTTCCTAATCCCCTTTTCTGTATTAAATGGCTTTTTAATCTTTGCCATTAGGACCCCTCTACACTTTTGAAGACTGCGCAGTAAGTGAACTTTAGGTTTGAATGACAGGAAATACTGTAGAAATAGATTGATGCTGATATGGCAATAGTGGTCGAGCAGCTGTGGTGTATTTAAGGATACAAATAGAGCAGGCAATGCTGAATTTGACGCACGATTAAATTAAATCAAATTGAATTAAAAGCAAGGTCCTAAAGACGTAAAGTGGATTAAAGGTCTGATTTTTTTCATTTAGTAAAATGTGATGCCTTGTATTTTGCAATTGAATGCAGCATCAAGGATACAAATCCCTACTTATTTAATAATGTCACTGACACACAAAGCTACCCTGGGTTTTTATCAGAATCAGGAAAGCACAAAACTATGCCAACTCAATCTAATATAGGAACATTTGTGGATTGAACCTAACTGGTGTAAGCCATCAAACAGTAGAGGTCATTTTCACAGGCTATTTTAATACGTTTTGTTAAATATTTATAGGTCCTCACCAGTTCATAAATAGCTTTCTTTTTTTCTTGCATCAAGCTCTACAGAGGATCTGCCTGCCAGTCTTTTGAATGCGTTTCATCTCCAGTCTTACTTAAACTGAGCAAGTACAAAACATCATTTTTCTCTTGGTTTTGAGTGTCACAACATAATGTCATTCATTGTCAAAAGAGAATTTCCTGCTTTTGTGTAGGAAGTAGATCACTCTGAAGCTCCTGTTCTGAGCTCAGAGTATTTTTAGACTCAGTCAAACTTTCCGAGTGGCTCTGAGATGTTTGATATGGAAATTCGGATGCTGGACTATGATATTTAAGAAAACAATCCAAGACAACTCTTTCAAACAAAGGTTGTTCGTGTTTGTAGAAAACACTACTTTTGTGAATTTATAGGACATTATTATTATTTGACTGTTTATCTTGTCCTAACACAATAATGGAGTATTATGATTCAGTATCTTACAACCACCACCCCTTTGATTAAAAAGTACCAGCACAGTTTATGAGACACCAGCCAGTCAAAGAGCATCGTTTGTTCATATTGGTTCAAGGTGTGGATTTATAGAGCAAAGCTGAACTGTGAGTAAGGATGACTGTACAATAAATGATCAACTCTTAGATGAGTATCCTTCCTCCCTAGAATGGACAAACACACCATTCCCTGGATTGGCTGTCATTGATTTTGCTTTGGAATTTCAAACTGAACCAGTGGCCTAACAAGGTTGTGATTGGCCCCGGTGCAAATATTGTTTTGGGGGCCCCCCATCGCCCCAAACATAAGCGCACGCTGATGCGCTCACACACGCATGGACATACACAACCACTCAGAAGCGCCACATGTATAGGCTATACAGCCTGCCCTGGCCTCAAACCAGGAGGATTACACCTGTTTCCTTGACGTTTGTCTCTGGGGAATGGGCCGGTAGGCCTACATGGACCGGTTGCTATAATATAGCTTTTGATCTTGGCGTCGGGTGTCTCAATAGCACCATAGAGTCCCCTATCGGTTGGGGCCCTTGGGGGAACTGTTGGACCACCACCGGGCACAGCCAAATCCAGCCTCTCCTCCTGGCTGGCTGGAGAAGAACGGATACAGCTTCACTTGTGGAGCTAGATGGCAATGATGGTGGTGAGGCAGGTGAGCTATCGTTAGCCTCCGGCTCTGGCTGCACGTCAACATTGCTAACGTTAGCGCTCGATTTCGAGGACGATGTATGACAAAGAAAACGGTCTAATTTAGTCAGTTTAGCTGTTACATCTCCTTGTTCTTTCTCTTTTGAGCGCCGCTCTTGTGCTTTGGTTTGCTGTACATTATAAATGCAAGCTATTACATTTTTTATAATGCTGCCGAACTTGCTGCTGCTAGCTACAGTACAGTACAGGTTGATTAAACGGTTTCGCTCGTCACGCAAGGTATCACATGACATGAAAGGGAGCAAGGCCATTGGACAGACAAATTACAAATTACTTTGCGTTAATAACGCGTTAACGCAAAAAAAAATTAACGCCACTAATTATTTTAACGCGATTAACGCATGTGTATTTTTTGTCCTCGGCCGCCCCGTAGTTTCAGAGCGCATCGAGTTTAAAATACCATCTACAAGCTGATGCTGACAGCCCCGCTCCTGCCGCCCGCTTGTGGCAGACCACACTTCCACGCTCACCGGCAGGCCCGGACTGGCCATCGGGAGGACCGGGAGGGTGTATGTGTGGCGCGACTCGAGCGAGGCACACCTTACGTGTTGTTGTTAGCATCTGGTGCTAGCTAGCTGCGCTAACGGATATAAGGAGCTGTTTCAATGAAAACAGAGGAGCGACATTTCGCCGACAACTGCGCCGAGCACTTGACTTTATGCAGGTAGCCAGACAGTGGGACATTGTACGAAAAGTCAGCACACTCACCACGGATAGTGCGCGCAACATGATTGCAGCGTCCAGGCAGCTCCCGTTCGAGCATATATGCCTTGAGCTGCACATAGCTCCAACGATCCATCACAACACACACACACACACACACACACACACACACACACACACACACACACACACACACACACACACACCACACACACACACACACACACACACACACACACACACACACACACACACACACACACACACACACACACACACACACACACACACACACACACACACACACACACACACACACACACACACACACACACACACACACACACACACACACACACACACACACACACACACACACACACACACACACACACACACACACACACAGGTTGAATTGAGGCGAATATTTGTAATGTTCAGAGGTTGTTGTGTTTAATATTCATGAGAATATTTGTCATTGTTCAAATGATAATAAACAAACATATAAAGCATATTTGTCCACTCATATGTTGATAAGAGTATTAAAAACTGGAAAAATATCCCTCTAAGGTACATTTAGAACAGATGCGATTAATTTGCGATTAATCGCGATTAACTATTTTAATCGACTGACAGCCCTAATATATATATATATATATATATATATATATATTTTTTTTTTTAGCATGGGCCCCTGGCCGGCTCTGGGCCCCGGTGTGTTGCACCGGCTGCACCGCAGATAGTTACGCCACTGAACTGAACACACATGATTAAAGTGCTTGATACATCCCAAAAATGTATAAAAAGCATGTTAAGTTATTCTGAAAAGTTTTGGGTTTTCGAAGCTCAGCTTAAAAGTTAGAGTAGGGCAATGGCAACAAGTCTTAAAAAACGGGGAAAGAAGTTATTGAGCTAGGGAACATAAAACCCTGGGGACACAGAAAAGCCTCTGAAAATTAAACAGAGACCTTTTCACAAAGATAATTCATCTCCCTTTCAACACATTGCCGACCAATTACATGACGATAGATCAGAGTAAAAAGGCCATGTGGTGACAGTCAGGCGCCTGGGGCGTAAAAGGAGAACGTCCCAGGAAGTGTTGCTTCAATAACGTAAATGAACAGGATTGATGATGGACACCAAGAGAGCAGGGCTGCTGTTACATCCTCAGCTTTGGTTACCTGTCTCTGGTGATCATCAGTCACTGAACCAGGT